TGCAGAAAATACTGCAGAATATACTGCAGAATATACTGCAGAATATACTGCAGAAAATACTGCAGAATATACTGCAGAAAATACTACAGAATATACTGCAGAAAAGGGAATGACGACAAAATTCATAAAGTCTTTTCTCTGTTAAACAAAATTAACATTTTTGATTTAAAAAAACAAAGCTCAAGAGAAATAAGTGAGTTTACTCCATGTTGCTTTCCACATTATTTTGCAGTCCACTGTCATGTTACCAATTTTAGCCGGGAGTAAGTTTCGCTTTCTTGATGCAGCTACCTCGTCAGCTAAATCAAGATTAACTAAGTCAAGAACTTTTAGATGAGATTTAGTTAAGCTGTAAAGCTGAACTTGTTAACCTTTTCTAAAATTTATACACAGAAAAGAATTGAGTCTTTGACACAAACTCTGATTTTCTAATTCCTATATCTTTGCAACTCAATGTCGTAGACCTTAGATATTTCAAACTATGAATTCTGTTGCATCAAATTATCTTAGTTTGAACTATCAAAAGTCTATAACATCAAGTTCCATAGATATAGGGATTAGAAAATTTGAGTTTGTGACAAAGACTCAATTCCTTTATCTTCCTAAGGTTTAAAATTTGACAGCTTTAGGGCATGGCTGTAACTTCCCAATAAGTTAAACCTAATACTTTCAAAAGTTTTCAACTTCGTTTATTATACACCTTTTATTATTTATTTATTAAATTTATTTTTCAAATTCTTTATAGAATAAAAGTTAATCTTACAAATAAATCTAAATTTTAAAATGGATAAATTAATTAATTAACTGAAAAATAGATAATCGAAATTAAATAATTTATTAATAATCGATTAATTCGAAAATCGTTAAGTTTGATAATCAACTGATTCGATAATAAGTTAATTTGATTCGATACCTGAGATAGGACACAATGCTTGTAATATTGAAAAGACTACCAACAACCCTGCAAAAAAATGAATAAACATTTCAATTTAAAAAAAAAAATTATAAAGCAAAAAAGGGCTCACTGTAGACAAGCACCGGGCTGAATTTAAAGCAATTGGAGCAAATATAATTTTCACTTTAGTCAAAAATGAACCTGAATATTAAAATTAATTCAAATTTTTTCTTATTTGAAATCAATGAGACTGATAACTAAATTTGAATTTTTTATTCCATCGTTCTTTAAATAATGGTTTAAAGGGAATGTATTCGTAATTTTAAGTGAATTTAAAGGGACTGTTTACGTAATTTTAAGTGACCCCTCCATTTACGCTTGCAGGTTCTCTATAAAAGTAACAGCAAATGACCGAATTTAAACCTAAAATTACGTCACTTATATAGAGAAATCAGAAACCTCGATTAAAAATAACCAGATTTTAATATACTATAAAACAAATTGATGTCTAATTCATACTTCAAGGGGTTACTTGAAACTACAACGTCAGTCCCTTTAAAGATTCTATTTAAAGGGACTGTAAGCGTAATTTCAAGTGACCCTCCATGAAAAGATGGCAATGCCCGATTCACAACAGTACACTTAAAAGCTTACTCTGATCAATTATGAATTAGATATCAATTTGTTTAGAATATTAAAAACTTTTCATTTGAGGTTTCTCTACATAAGTGACTTTCTCATTTCTACTGCAGAAAAACATATTAGAATTATCAGAATCAATACTTTTAGATCTTTTAAGATTAAGATATCTTTTACATTATTGATCAGATAAAAGGTTCGTAGTGAATTGAACATTGCCATCTTTGCATGGAGAGTCAGTTAAAATAATCTTTACAGTCCCTTTAAAAGTAATTTAATCTTACCAAGTAAAGCCAATGCCGACATCTTTTTCAGGGATCTCTGTGTGACCCATGCAAGCTTAGAATTATTTATTTGAAAACAAATTTCATCACATTTACATTTCTTTATTTAACAAAAAATACATTTATTGTAAAAATTAAAATTTACTTACTGTGATACAGAATCCCTTAAGTTTCACATTTGGAGAAACATTAAGGAAAATTAAATAATACAAGATTGAAAAAAATACCAAATCAATCAAAAAAATATGTAGGATTTCAGTTTTTTTTTTCAAAATTCCGATTTTAAAAATCTTTTATCTTTGCAACCCGATACCGTATATTTTGAAACATGAATCCTGTTAGATCAAATTGTTTAAGTTTGAAGTATCATAGGTTTACATCATCGGGTTGCAAAGATTTTGAAAAATTGAGTTGATGGCAAGGACTTTGTTCCTCTACAAGTTCTGATAATATAAGATTGATTCACTTCGGTAAAAAATACACAATGTAACTGAAGATTATTTTTGCCTAAACAATTTTTGAAGAAGGTTTTCCTGAAAATACCATAAACTTTTAATCTGAAAGCTTGTTTTTTTAAATATTGTATTCTCCATGTTTCCTTCAGAAGAATTATACGTCAGACAAAGACTCAGCAGGATGAGTTCTGCCCAAGCCGAGCATCTTAAAGTATATTTTAAAATTAAAAAATTGAAAATTATAACTTTATTAATGGTTTATCAAGAATTACACTATGCTTCAGTAGAAGTAAATATTTCCATTTACTGTTATATAAGGATATAAGGATTCATATCTCTAATTGGATAATGAGATAGATAGAAAGATAGATGTTGCCGCTATGCAATTACTATTGGTTCAGAATAGACACCAAACACATGGCTGAACCCTGATTGGATCAGGCGCTAATGGACTCGGCATCCTAGAGTGATTAAGTGAGAACAAACAGCCATTTTAAAAATATGCAAGATTTCGATTAAAAATAATTCTAGATAAATAATACTAAAAATAATACTAGAGTGATTAAGTTTATAAGCCCGGTTTTTTTTATGAAAGAAAGGAACTGGGGCCAAATTTAATGAATTTGAACTAGGTCACTGAACTTCTGACTGCCGGTTCAAATTTGAATCACTGTTTCAAGTTAAAGATTTGTTAGATGATTTGAACCGGCGGCGGAACCTCTCCATTTCATTAAATAATTTTTTAGACGTTTTGATTTTCCAATTTTTAAATCTGCTTAATCATAATAGTCATCACATTATACAGAGCTGGGAACTTTAGAATGGTGGATATCAGGATTAATGCTTAAACCTCTGTTTTTGCTAATCTCGAGACTAACATAATCTCGAGATTATGTTAGTCTAGATTAAATATTTAGATCAACAAATAGGATTCTAAGAATGCCAAATTGGTTAGTTTCCTTGACTGACAGGGCCTTCACTTAATTTCTCACTCATTTATTTATCAATAAATTAGTTAGAATTGGTTACAAAAGAATCTTAAACGTATTATTAAATATTTTTCTTCGCCGATTAATATACAAAATGGCCGACTACAAATTCTTTATTTGGTATAAATTGCGGATTTCTCACTTGCGATAGATTTATTTTCAAGGCTGTCATTAGTCAATACAATTTACGAACTATATTCCTGCACTCTCATTGGAGAAAATAATATACGGATATCCAAAGAGAGAGAAAAAGAGTGGATTAAGGACTAAAATTAAAAGTTTCCAAAGTGGATATTCGGATTAAGTAGTTGGGATTCTAAAGTTCCCGGCTCAGGTTGCAGAGATAAAACAGATTAAAAAAGTGTGAAGTTCCAAAGGAAATAAATCGTGAAAATTGTAAAATTTACAAATAATAGTAAATTAAATTTAGACGCTAAACATTTTTCTAGGTTTTAACCCCCCCCCCCTCAAAAAAAACACATTATATTTTACATAGTACACTACATACAGGGTGTTTTTTAATCTTGTCAATTTTGATTCTTCTCTATCAAAGATAAGAAAAAAATTAACATAGTACTTCTATATACATTTAAGGAAAAATTAGATGATTATTATAAAAGATTTTCGAAGTTACCGCCCTCATTCTCAAAAACAAAAAGTCGCTCTTTTCCTAAAGTTTTTGGCTGCTTTTATGAGAGTGTCTCTGGTGACTTTGTTTTCACGCTTCTCCATGGCTTTCTTTGTCTGGTCTAGACTTCTAGGTTTGGCATCATAAATACACATCTCATCTATACCACAGAAGAAAAAATCCTGTGAAATTTGGTCCGGGCTCTTAACAGGCCAGAAATATTCCAGACGGTTAGAGATGACGCGGTTCTGGAACTTGGCTATGGGAGATACTCCAAACCATTGATTAATAACATAACCTTCGCAGAACCTGAATAGATGGCCAAACCTTCGCAGAACCTGAATAGATGGCCAAACCTTCGCAGAACCTGACTAGATGGCCAAACCTTCGTCATCAACATTTTTAAATACTGATCCCCAGTAACTGAACCTTCAAACCAGTTATCTCCACCCAATGGTAGCCAATGGTTCTCATTCCTCTGATTTTGAACTGTTCCAAACCTTTACCGTCTTCACCTTATTGCAACTCAGCTTGAATCTTGGTTTTTTAGAATGGAGTCTACAGAAACTAGCGAACTAAGGAGGAGATTCTAGTTTGGGCTGAATAACTTTGAACCATATTTTATGTTCCTTGGAGAACATTGTCCTTCAAGGTTTAAAGCAGGGGGGATGATAGTTCTTTACCTGTGTGCTCAGTCAGCTGTACTGTACACTTACAACTGTTTACTACTAATGATATATTATAGGTTAGGCCAGAATATCTTATAATAAACATTAATATGCAGTACGCTCTCGGTATAGTTCCCGGCCCATACAATTAGTAAAGGATCAGCGTACATCATCACTCTATATACTATAACCTCGTTGGAATCAGTGTTTACATCATCGCTCTATATACTGTAACCTCGTTGGTGAAGTAAGAAAATATGAAATCTGAAATTCAGTAACCTTCCATATCTGTTTTCAGAACGGAGATATCACAAAGAATGAGAAAGTTATCAAAGTTACAAAATTGACAAGATTAAAAAAACACTTTGTACTGAAAAATCTGAAAAATCTGCTAAATATTTGAAAAATCAAGATTTCAATAGTTATAGAACTTTACTTGAGTGCAAAGGATGCTTTGTTGTAGCGAAGTCCAATATTTACATCCAGACTTGTCCTAAATAATCATTTATAAAACTAAGCTTTGCTCCCCTTTTCCTGATTGATGTTACATTATAAGGACTGTAACTTTGTTAGGGTAATTTCAAGAGAACCTCCATTTAAGGATGGCAATGCCAAATTTACAACGGTACCCTTTAAACCT